GAGAATTGTGCAATCCTTACTATATCAATTTTAGAACATCTCCCACCTCCACCCCCTGTGGTTAAATCACCTTTAAAATGAGTTTTGCAACCACAGTCAATTCTAGTACTCCCTCCCACATCCCACCTTCATTTCCCACTCCTGAAACCCCCCTTCTCCTTACCATCCACTTCCACCCCTGCATCCCCTATCAACCCCTGAATCAGTTATCATTATGCATCTACTCCTCCTGTGGGTCACAAAATGGGAAATCCAGCAGAAACAATAAAAACCAAAATCAAAATAAGGTTGTAAGGATAAAATAGCAATAATATAAATACCCAAATATAAATAATGAATAAGAAAGAAATTACTTTCATCAACATTCCAAAAGCAAGGAAAGAAATTTCTGTCATGGAATAAGTAAGAGATACTTGCACACAGAACCAACTCAGGTTGGGTCTACAGTGAGATTATCTGGCCAAGTTTGGGGTTAGATTCAGCATATTCAAGATTACAATGGTCTCTGCTGGACAGCAAGGATGTTTAAGACTCTTGCCTGTGGCTACAGGGGATCAGCCAGCAGCTCATTCTGACCAGATACTCTGCAGATGGGTTTGGGGCTCCCACTGTCCTTCATAGCCTTCTACAAATTGTGTGTTCATAATTCTAGCTCTGAGACTTTTCCCTTAGCCATATTCAAATTTTGTAATTGTCATCTTTGGATCACACAAGCTGGTGTGCTTCTTTTGTGTAGACCTATTTGATGCCTTGCTTAGAAGGCTGCTTGTTTGAATATAAGTCTTTAAGACCCCAGGCACTATTCCGATTAGTAGCCAGGCACCATCTACTGTCTTCACCACACATTGCTGTAGCACCCTTATCTTCAGTGACCCTTTCTTGAAGGTGAGTATCAAGCAGGGCCATAATATCATAACTAACTGTTCTTGAATTGGGGCTAGAGTTAAGTAGGAGCCCAGACGCCATCTGCTTGTCCATGGGGTTTGCATGTCTCAGGTTTACTTGGGTGGTGGTAATATGACAAAATCACTACCATATAATATCAACTGCATCAATAGCAACCATAAGCCAATCAGCAACCAAATAAACAGGACACACATACCCAAAAAGAAAGAAAACACCAAAAAAACAAGCTACAAGCAGGAAAGCAAAAATCCATATAAACAAAGAAGTACAGCATTGTCAATCACCTTCCTGGGGAATAAGTTGATTGCACTATTATCATCATCAATATTCCCAATGACCAGCACTCTAGACACTGTTTTCTATTCGAGTAGAGTTTCACCTTGAGCCACAGCCTATGAGTTTTGCCCTACATAGTTCATCTCTCGTTCGTTTAGGCTCTGTTGACTGTAAGCATAAAGGTTGATGCCAGTGGGGGCCTTCCTGGGCCAACTCTCCCAAGTGCAGGTCTCTGTTCAACAGATCCCAACCAATTGAGACACTGCAGGGTGGCCGCTGAGGCACTACATGTATGGTGATCCTTGGTCCCCTTCCCCGGGACACCCACCTAGCTGGAAGTTTCTCCCAAGGTCCAATGATTGCCCCCAAGGTCCAATGATTCCCTCAAAGTCCAATGGCTTCTAGTAGGGCAGCCACTTTCTGCTCCTTCTCCCATCCAAGTACCCCAGCCTTCAGTCCAAGGGTGCAGGCAGCTTCGAGATAGGGGTCAGTTCCTTTAGCATGGCCTCTATTTTAAGTCCTTCTGATGTAGCCCGTCTTGTGCCCTGCTACCTGCCACGTCAGCTTCCATGGTCATCCTGTGCTTAGTCCATTGTGTGGTTCACCGCAGGTTGGGTAGAAATGAATTCATAGTGTTTATCCAGGTACCTAAAATCTGGCCCATTTTCTCCCTAGGTTCCCTACACTGATTGTTTAGCATCCCTTCCTGCTACATAGTTGGTTCTCTCCAAATGAATTCTTTAGGAGTATAAGACACTTCTTCCTGGGTCACCATCTAGACTTCACCTTTGAGGACTCACTGACTTATTTCTAG